GTTAAAAATATGAAAGTCACTGAAAAAATTGCAATAAGAAAGCGAGGGGATTTTGGTCTAATAATAAAGTTGCATTTCAATAAAACGCAAAATTACGTAAATAAAATCTTCCGCATATATCTCTTTATAATACACATTCATAAGTTTTAAAAAACAATTTTAACTGAACTGCTGGGGCCGTAATTCCCTGGTTGGCAGGGAGCTGGACTCTCGTTTGTAAAAAAGGGAGTTGGAGTCCAGCAGGCCAAAGACTTCTCGTGTAGTAAATGGTGGGTGGTGCACATTAAATCTATCAGCTTACGACGTGCTTCATATTCCTAGAACAAATTATACCTCGGGGGGGGGGGACTGAATTAGAGATTGATCGTTCCTGGTTCAGGTTAAAATTACCATCTGTGGGTGAATGGATGCATGAATGGGCAAGCCCTATAAATGGGTGTGACGTATGGATGAGACAGAAGTTAAATTCTTGCCCATAGATGGCGCCACAGGAAAACACGAACAATCGCGCCACTTATCTTAATGGCCTACGACAACAGCAACAATCACAGAACTGCTTAAAAACTTTTACTGTTCAGGACGTTTTTCTTTCTTTCCCGTGGAAAACTTCTCAAGCGGGTTTTATTTTATTATTTCCTTAGGACTGAATCAGTAAAAACATTTCCTTACCTGTTAAGTTTTCAAACAACTTCGCTACTTAACAAAAACAAGTTTTAGTTAATGCATTCGAACACCATTATCTTTCCAAAATGTGGGGAAGAAAATAATGCGCTAACAATTATTCTCCATTTAATCTAAATTACTTTTTATTATATTCTTAATCCTTATTCCTAATTATACTAAAGTCTAAGAGAATAGTTAATTTGATGTTCTGTAGTTTTTATAATTTTTGTTCAAGCGCCATTGAAGCTATGCTTTCATTTAAAGGATAGAATAATAATCTAATCCGAAAGCAATTTCTTTTCGACTTTATGATAATTCTAGAATACCATTATTCTTCAAAGTACTTTTTTTTAATAAAATAAGTTGTATAGTGTGGGGAAAAACAACTCCATTCTAAATTACTTTTGATCTAATGATCGGATCTTCACGTTCTAGAACTCAATCTTAAAGGTTCCAAGGGGTGACCTCAAATATGGTAATTAATAAGTACAAATGATATTTTAAGTAAAGAAATGAGCCTCAAAAACGTACTTTTTTCTAAATAAATATACCTTTTTTTGACGAATTCGACCGTCAAAACATAAGGAGTAGCCACAATCTCGTAAAATATGGTCCCAGTAGTTTGGTCAGGAGTGTAGGCGGAATTGTAAGATTTAAAATTTTTTACATCATTTTAAAGAGTGTAATTTCACACGAAAAAATACAAAATCTAACTGAAATCGGTCGAATAGTTCTTGAGAAAAGGACTTTTCTATCTGAATTTTTAAAACTTAATTTCTCAGGAACCATTCGACCGATTTCGGTCAAATTTTGTACTTTGCAAAAAAAAAAAAAAAAAAAAANAAAAAAAAACTCTTTTAAATGATTTTAAAAATTGAACATGTTTCAATTTAAAATTTTTCGACTGTAAATAAATAAAATACTAAAAAATATAAATGTTTACTAAATTTTATTTTTTGCATGGAATTATAGTTGGATAAACGAATATTATAATAGTGTGCAAAAATTTTCTAATTCGCTTGAAATCGTTTTTTTTTTATTTTTCCTCGCAGTGTAAAAAGTTAAATTTAATTTTAGTTCGAACTAAAATAACTCTGACTAGTAGTTTAAATACAAAAAGAACAAGAAAGCAAGTATTGCTTTTAGTAAAACAAAAGAAAAAACAAAAATTCATCAAATACTGAATTTTGAGTTTCACTGAACAAATTCAAGAATTATTGACAAAAATATTAACCAAAGAAATCGAAGAATAATGTCAGACCTTTCGGAGAAAAGCATATATTAATGGCTCAGATAAATAATAACAAAAAGGCAGGGATATTTTGGTTCTTTTATTCTTTTATAACATGGAATAGAACGCGCAAAATGAAGAAGAATTATGCATATTCTTTCGGGAGAAAAATCATAAAGTTAAAGGTGTTTTATATTGCTTTTCTTTAATATTGATGCGTGTGTCGAATATTACTATGTTGAAGGTTAGAAGAATTTACGTTCACGCTCAATAAAAATGATTTACACTTCATATTACAGTAGCAATATTTTCAGATATATTGTCTTAAAAGAATGCTAAAATGCAGCAGTATTTCAAACAGAGCTTTTTGGTCAAATAAGTTTTCATTTTGTCGCATTATTGCGTCCACCATTTAAGAGATAAAATTAGGTGTGTATACTTTAACATTAAGAATTCTGTTATTTAACATTGAAGTGTCAGGGAAAGGAACACAGTCCTTACACTTTTCTTTTATTGGTCAAACATTGCAAGTTTCAGAGCATCTTGAAACATTTTATCACACATAGAGGTTAGAATTAAAGTACCAAATTAAGTCCAGTATAGATTACATTCTAGTTGACGATTGTGGAAAAAAATTTAGTGCGATGGTTACATGAGCCAAACCGGAAAGAAAACTACAAAAAAAATTATTTAAATTTCTACCTTAATGATATGTAATGAATAGAATAATGTAATGTAAAAATAAAGGCTTTTGATTGGCCAACTTTGTCTACCGTAATTGTGAAAATTTAGCTGAATTCCACCCTAGAAAGCCATGGATTTACGAAGTGTACATTATGTTCATACGATCGATAGATTAATGAAGCTCACGTAAAACTGACAGATTTTACACTGTACTGATATTTTGTTTAAAAAAGGTTCATTAGAGAAGGAAACGTAAAATAAACTTTCTATTCGATTTGGAGCCCCCCTTTAATGTGGGGGGCGGGGCCAATTATCCCGTATGCCCCTGCCTTAGTCAGGCTCTGACAAGGTGAAAACTATCACCATCTGCTTTCTGGTGCAACTTGTGGTCAGTGCCGTTCCTGGGGTGGCGAACGCCTGCGTGCAAGAATAATTTTGTGCGCCTCTATATACTATCCCAGAAAGCATGTAACCTTACGACAACGTTGTGTTTTAACTTTATTTTCATTGTCACGAAAAGGTTTGGAGTAAAAACCTTTTTTCAATAAAGCAAAAATATTGCAATTTCCAACCTTTTTTCCTAAAAGGAAAACTAAATGATTTTTAAAGCTTTTTTAAAAAACATNGTTCGGTACAGTTCAGATAACAGATCATCGAACGTTGAATTATGATAGATGTCAACCTCTTCTCATAAAAAATTAGATAAATTGCTAACATACATCAATGTCTTCGCTGAATCATGTGTCTGGAGACTCGTTCAATGATTAAATTATTTAACACTATGCAAATTATTAACAGGATTACTAATACGATTTGCAAATAGATAAGTGGGACCCAACTCTAAGTGTTTTGAAAATCAGCAAGGTTTTTGAAATTGTTTTTCGCTTGGAATTTATTTTTTACCTTATAACCGTCGTTGACCAGCTGACCTCATTTTGAGTTTGCGACTACCAGTGTTCAACCCCGTAGTCTTATAATTTCGAACCCACTCCGGAAGATATGAGAAGGGAACTCCTGAATCAAGTATTTTTAGGAAAATTTACCTAAGGGATGTACTTTTTGATGGAACTAACCCGCATTTGCAATACATGGAGAAGGAAACCTCGAAGACCTCTCACACTTAGAATAAAGATTTTGATATGTTACTTTTCATTGAAGATACCGTTTAAGCTCAAAACGGATTATTGAAGATATCTTTTCAGTAATACAAGAAATTTAATATAACTAAATAAAATACAAAATGTTAAAAAGCACGAGCGCAACATCTCTGTACAAGCACAATCTATGCACTCTGATACTAAAAAGTCTAAATAGAAGAAACAGTTCTTATTTATTTTTCCCACTCGAAGGAAGGGTCTAATCGTTCTCCCTGTCACGAGTATTACTTTTCTCTTTTTATTGCTTCGAATCTCACTGTTAGTCTGAGAACAAGGGGACACTAACCTATGATCCGTCTACAACTGAATATATTTTACATCAGCAATTTGGTCTGTATGAGCCGGGTGCGGAATTCGTATCAACAAAAATCACCGAGCCACTCGGAATTTTTTTTCTTCTTAAAATTCGTTTGCAATTTTCAACAATCGCGTAAAAAATAGCACCTTTTCTTGTCCCAAAGCTTGTCTTGTCTGATGCTTCGATTGAGCCCTTTAAAAATTTGAATTTCGGTAAAACAACCTCATTGTCTGAAATAATGAAAAATTCTAAAGTGTTATACACCAGTTCTATTTTTCTAAGTACTAATATACCGTTACTGAACTTTTTCTGTCATTTTCCTTTTAGAAGTAATTTATAAATATTTAAAAACCTATATTAAACTACATTAACTAAAATGTTTAAAAACTGCTAAAATACTGAAAATATTCCTTAACTAAGTATTTATAGTTAAAATTTTAAGATAATTTAAATGAGAAAAGGAATTCAATTTTTTTTCGAATATCTTCCATTTTATATATGATTGACTTTTTTTACTTTATATGTTTCTTTAAGGAATCTACCACTTTTCTTTTTAAATATTTACGTATTTAAATAAAATTTTTTAAAAAAGTTATTATTCAAGGAAATGGGAAATTTTAAAATAATCGTAAAATTGTAAGATTAAATATTTTTAAAAATCTAAATATTTTAATAAAATTGATTTTATTGCTATGTTTTTACATTAGTATTTATTGTTTGCTTTCATTTAAAAAAATAAAAAAAAACTTTTTGATTAAAATTTTTAAAATTCTAATCTGTTGATATATAAACATTCACACGTATATCAATAAAATAAATATTTTGAATCAAACTAAGTAACATGAATATAAACATTACAAAAAAAAAAGGTATGGCATGAAGCAAACAAACCGAAAAAAAAAATGAGCGTACAGAATGTAAACTTGAAATTTGAGCCTTTTATCACATTTAACAAGCAAAAATTGGCGAAGCAACCTACCACGCGGCCACCGAGGCTTCACATTTAATTTGAGTGAGGCGTGAACTGCAAACAACTAAACTCATAGGTTCTTTTTGAAGAAAAAAATTCGCAGTCCGATATTGTATTGTATCTGTTGTTATTTGTGTAATGTGTTTGACAAATTTAACTTGTGTATTTTAAACATTGTACCGGTTTTAGTGCTTGTCAACTAAAACGACATTAAAATCGCAAGATTAATTTCTTAATTCTTTATTTCAAGTGATTATTTAACGTCAAAACTGGCGGGAACAGTCGGATATTACCCTACGATGCAAGGGTATGCGCATGCGTCGGCTTCGTTTGTAAAATACGATTCCGCCATGTCTAACAAGGTAATGTTATTTAACAATAAAATAATTATTATCTTACAAATTCTAAACTGTACTTACAATGAATCTTTCATTTTTTAGCAAGAACAAAGCAATGAGAGTCATCCTAGAACGCTGTAAGTGTACTTTATTTGTTTACGGCGAATACAATTACGCCGGTTGTTAACTATGCTCGTAAATGATAATCATTATTAATAATGAACTACTTTACATTTTAGCTACGTTGGTAATCTTGATCCTTCAGTGACAGAGGAATTGATTTTAGCACTCTTTGGACAAATAGGCCCTGTTAAAGGATGTAAAATAATACAAGAGGTAAGTTGTTAACACAAAATTGTTCTAAATTGAGATTCTAATTTAAGTTTGAAATTAGAGGTTTCTTTCGAGTGATTTGTATAATTACGACTAAAGGAGTTAATTTACTTAATCTTAAAATGTCATCCTCTCTTCCGCACACCTGCCAACAATGAAAACTAAAAGTAATTACTATTTGTAATTCGTTAGGCTTAGTAGTGTGCTTGTTTATTTACCCCTGATTTTATCTACGAATTTTGTTCTTTTGATTAAAGACACTTGAAACAGAAATTAATGTGTAATTTCTCAATGCTGTTATGTTATTAATTCAAAGCATTTACCTGTAATACTACTCATTAAATGGTTGTAAAGTGAGACAATCAAGATGTATTTCTGTGAGGGATAAACATTGTTTCTAATATATAATGGAATCTTATAATGCTTCTATATTACAGTAGCATTTTCCGTATATATTTAAAGTAATTTAAGTTAAGATTTGAACAATAAAAATGTATACATTATTTAAATTTTATCCAGTTTTGTACTTCAAGTAAAAAATGCTGTGAAATTTATTTCACGGATTGTTTTTATAAGCTTGTTATTTATGCTGTATTGGCATAGATTTTTTAAAAATCAAAACATGTTTATATTCAACACTGCATAGTCAAAATTTTCAATATGTATTATAATGTTCTGATATTTAAACTGAGTCTCTTAGCTTCAACTTAGTATAATGGATTGTTTTGGAAAGTTGTCCTTGCAGTGTTTTTTCTTGATTATCATGTAAAGTAATGCAGTGCAGCGGAGCCTCAATATTTGCTCGATTTAACAGAATTCTTGTAAAAAGTAGGGTTCTGTAAAAGTCATTAGTTCATACATACTTAGTAATTTAAAATTCTATTTAATTTCTTGTGCAAAAAAAGTTATATATGGCATGAGAATTTTTGTTGAGTTGCACAAATTACAAAGTTCTTATTCTGATAGAAATATTCTGACACATTAAAGGTTGTTTGCTAAAAAGTACCGTTTTTTATTATTTTAAAACATATATTTTAATAAATGACTGTTTAAAATTTAAATTTGCAAAAGAATTATTTGGTCTATAGATTATATCCATCCTTACCTTTTTTTTTCTTTGTTACATTCAAATCGTTTTAATTTATTATTAGGACTTGGAAATTTCGAATCCCGCTTTTAATTAATCAAAATTCGTGCGACGGTCTTGCTTCTATCTCTTTTTTTGCAGTTATTGCTGTTGATTTCTCAAGATTCAAATTTTAAATCCCTTATGTTTTCACCTAACCCAATCACGAATTAAGCATCTGAGTTATAATTTTTTGATATGGTTGATTTGCACTTAACTAATGCGGTTGTTTCAATGTTTTGCGCAGTTATATTGATTTCCATATGATTTTTTAAAAAAAAATCTTGATATATTTCACGCAGTATTATGATACTAGATTTTTGAATTGCAGATCGAAAAGTTTACTATTTAGAGCAATGATTCTATCTTTTTGCAATTGATTATTAGGGATTTTAGCTACTGATTTTCAATTTCTTTATAAATGCCTGATATGTTAATATTTATTGCAACATGCAAATTTTATATTTGGTATTTGATTATCTCCCTATTTAAGCATCTGATTTGTCTAAGTTTATCAAATCTATGTGATTTTTTTCTTCAATCTTTTTTTATGCATTAATTGCTGAGCACTTACTTTATTTTCCTTGTCCAAATATAAATAAAAAAAAATAGGTTTTAATGATGAACTACCTCATAAGAAAGAGTTGTTTTGTTTGAAAATGAAACTAATTAATTTAGTATCAAAAATCTTCTAGATCACTTCTTTTTGCAGCAATCACGTGTCTAAGTGAAATAGTTTCCTTTGAACCTACTTATTGTCACTTTGTGTTATTGACAGTCGTTCAAACTTCCACTTTTGAAAAAAATGTATATGTTTGTAGGATTTGATTCATCATTAGTTTTCTAAACATTATCATAGCTGCCAACTGTTCCTATTAAATTGTATTTGTTCCGAATTTTTGGCTTTGTTCCAAAAATACGATTTTAGATAAAAATGCTCCGATTATTTGATATTCTAGCACCTTTTCACTTAAGCCAATTTTCTTTCAACCCAGGAAAGGTCTAAAGCCTAGAAGCAGGTCATGTGATTTTTCCGCGAATATCGCAGATTTCCGCTTATCTCAAGACCATTGGTTAGCGGACTTCCATGAATCAAAAATTTATAATCCGACGAAATTTTGAAACTTTTGCTAAATCACGCTAACGAGCCATTTATGATTCGTACAAAATTTGATTCTTTTGATTTGGCTGATTTTCGCCATTTCAAATATTAGGAACTCAGTCAAAATCTGCTAATATCGCAATTTTTATTTTTAAATATTAGGAACTCAGTCAAATACTGCTAATGTCGCAATTTTTATTCACACTATTTTAATATCAATCATCGATTTTGGTACTTAGCTGATATAAAAGTTACGTGATTTAAAAATTCAATATCGCAACTCGTATTTTCTTGTTTTTAAAATCCATTATAGCGATACCTATTCTTGCGATTTTAAAATCCAATATCGCTATTCTTGTAAGAAGTTTTTTTTTAATTGGTTACTATAAAGTTGTGATATTTTTTATTAATAAGTAATTTAATTGAAACTGTTAACTCAAAAACTATGTTATATGATACGTATATGGTTTATAAATTGATAATTTGCTACTGATATTATGATTTTTGATATTTTCTTTTACTCTTTGTGTCATTATTTCCCCTGATTGTCTTATCATGCTTTGTGTTCCTATTTTTCTTTTTAACAAGTTGGCAGCTATGCATTATGAGTTTTTCCAGGAGGGAATTAGCTGAGCTTGATAGGTGGAAGTTTATGGAAATTTTAAGTATCCCAAAATTATTGCTTGCTAAAACTAGAATTTGCACTTTTATGAACGGTGCTTCAATAGGCTTAACATTATACCAACCAAGTATTTTTGTTTCCCTTATTAAATTAGGATTTGTTATGAGTGAGTTTAACTGTATCTGTAAAATTCAGCATTTCATATTGAGAGCTAGTTTAATTTGCCTCTGGATTAGTGTTAATTTGCGTATTGAGTTAGTTTTTTTTTATGCATAATAGCCATCGGTTTACAGCTTGTCTCGAGCCAAGATTACTGTATAAGGGATTTGTAGAAGAATTATTTTCATTTTGGCTGAGTCACTGCTTGTGTTATCTTTACATATTTCGTCATGCGTCATAATGCAATGCTTGCAATACTAATACTATCTTAGTTGTCCTTTAGAATATTTTACAAGGAAATTAAGTCTTTGTTAATAGTGAGAGTTGAATAAAAAAGAAATTAGCAATTATTAAAAATGTTTATTATAATGAAATAATTATCACCACATTGTAAAGTATTGGATTTGTTTAGCATTTAATGTCTTTTTGATGTGCATGATATGTGTGTGTTCTATATTTTTAATTCTAATAGTAGTAATTTTTATGACAAGGGAACTATTAACTAAATAGTTTCACTGTGATGTGATCAATAATTTACACACTTTAAAGCTTGTAATGTCTCTGATCTCTTCATATTCAGAAGATTTTTCTGTTCGAGTTAGTTATTTTATTAAAATAATTTTTGTGTTTTGTATTACTGTGGTGTGATCATGGGATCACCACAATATTTACTTTTCCTACTGGGCTGTCTCCAACAGGAGCGCCCTCTTCATTGCCTTTGCAGGATCTCTAGGGCTCGACTCATAGCTCGTCTTTAGAGATTCTTGCAACCGCTAGGGAGGGGACGCTATCTTTTGGAGATAGACCAGTATTCCCCGTGGATCTCGAATAGTTGGTTGCTTTCTTAAGCAGCAGGATAATTTTTTTTTTTTTTCCCCCTGTGTGCTCTAGAGTTTAATCATTGATTTTTACCATAATAAGTTTTTCCTTATCTCCTAATTATTTGATGCATCAGGTAAATTCAGCAAGAAAACAATTATTATTCAAATGACTTAAATTAAATTACTATCTACTCCCTGGAGCACACAGGGAGGATCCAGCATGCACGTGGTGCAGTTAGGCTCTTGTGCATGGATGAGCCGCTTACTGAAATGAACATGTTTCTCAAAAACTGAAATGAAATGGAAATGTTAAATAAAATGCCTTAGTCTACAAAAATCTGTATTTTTCATTTGAATGGAGACATACAACTTCCAGCACAAGCAGATGGCGAATGATCTTCACCACATGGCCCTTCCATCAACCACATCCCCCGACCTATCATAGTAATTACTGTTAGTTTTATAAATAGAATAAAATTAGGAAATTTTTTAAAATTTCTTTTAAATGGCTTAAAAAGTTAAGTTAGTTTTATAAGTTAATATTTTGACCAAACTGTTGAAAACTAGTTAGATTTTATTAATTTTTGTTTATTGCTAATAAATAATAAATCTTTAAGACTTGTTTATTAGAAAATTATGTTATCAGCTCGATATAAAATATTTAAGTTCAATGACCTTTTTCTTATAGTTAATTACTTTAGTTATGTTTACCCGGAATATTTAATATTTTGTTAATATTCTCTTTTGTAAATTTTTGTAAGTAATTATTTAAATAGATGATATTGTTCTTAGTTTCTTACAACTAATAATCATTTGAATTCTTAAAAAGTATAAAATATCTAGGTATTCTTGTCTGTTTGGCTTAATAGTATTTTATATTTTATGTTTTATTCAAAGTTAGAGATAGTATACATTTAAATTTTCATAGCTGTTTATCATTAAATTTTGACTTAGTACTCATATTAAGTAGTTGGAAATAATCAGAATGAAAGAAGAAAAAAAATTAAAAATACACTGCTTGCACGGTTTTGTAGATTAACTTTATGTCCAAATTACAATTGCTTTGATTTGTAATTTTGGTTGAACACCCATATTCTGCATGCAGTTTGGTGTGTTTCGATTTTGTTTTGTAATAATTTTAATTGTAATATACATAATGAATTAGAGCTAAACTATTCATAAATTTTGTATTAAGATTGTTCTTAAAAATTTTAAATTTCAGTCTTTATAAGTTGTTGAACTATAAATCTAGATTTTAATCATTTTCAAAGATTTTTAATATCTCACATCAAATCTATTGAGTGTGAAATCTTATGTTAGTTGCTTTTACTTTAATTACAATGTTCAGGGAGGGGTGCACGTTTTTTGGAATTCACTTTGTTTTCAAAAAATAAAATAAAAACTAAATTTAATCTTAATATTTTATTTGCCTGATATTCACATAGTTGTGTCATAGGTATATCGTTAAAATTTAAGGCTCCTTTCTAAGGGTCAAATGGAGTAGTTGAAGGGCAGCTGGTAGCATTTTATAAAATATTACAGCTTCTCACTCATTTTCGTTCATAAATGGTCAGTTTTAACTCAGTGTAATGACCATTGAACAGAAGTGCACAAGTTATTTTTCAGAATTTTTAGCACTCTAAAATATTTAGTTAAGATTTTTTTTTATCAAACATGTAAGCAATTTCCACATTTGCTAAAATTTTTTGTTGTTATGCAGGTAATGAGCATTATCTGTGCTGATAAAGAATGTTCTTACTATACAGAAATATTAAAAGAATTATAATACAGGACTAAACTAAGATTAGAAGTTGCAAAAGAATTAGTAACCATTTCTTTACTAATCAATTAAAGTGCAAAAGATTTTTTTAAAATTTCCTATGAGCTGTGCAATTAGTCTTGCCGATGAACAGACGTAGTGCGTTCTCCTGAAGTGGTAACCACTCTTTCAGGACCACCACATTAGGTGAGATACTGTTGGCCATTTTAGTTAGGACGTCTAGTTTATGCCACACTAGGTAGCGGCACCAAGACTCTATTTGGATGCTAAAGTGCACTAGGAATTTAATTTTACTAAGAGCCAATAGGGCACTCCAGGGATCTTTTACATGCCGCATAATCGTACAACATGGCAGCTGAGGATTTTCTGCATCCCGAAAATCCGATGTCTGGACCAGGGATCTAATCCGCATACTTGGGCTCAGAAGACCAACTGTGCCATCCAGCCACAAAGTACGAAAGCAATATTGCAGCAACATGCTCATGAAAGCCTTAGGCTATTTTTGTTTAATGAAGAATTTTCAGCTAAAAGACAGTCTGGGCTTGTATGAGGAGTACACTAGTAGCTTTAAAAAATAAAAAAAAAGAGCTCATTTGACTTCCATTATAGGTAAAATGTCAACTATAAGCAAACTTTTCTAGACACTAATAAGATCTTGGATACCAATAATGAAGCCACTGAATATGAACTAGTTCAATGAAGATGATTATAGTTTTCAACATTTCAAGAAGTATATAGAACAAAATTTCAAGAAGTATTATAGTTATCAACATTTCATGCAAAAACCACTCAGTTTTTAAATGAGAATGTGCCAGACTGCGTTGGAAACAAAAATTGCCCTTCCCACAGTCTGAATTTAAATCTTTGATTATTATGGTCAGTTTTCGACGCAAAAGTGGCAAAATTAGGTTCTTAAAAAGTCATAATCATTATTTAAGAAGGCAGCAACAGACATTCCTTTTTGGAAGTATTGTCAGCCTTGTTTGGCCAAATAAAATTTAATCTTGAATTCAAAAGTAATAAATTTGAATAAAAGGTAATTACATGTTTATTTCGGTTTTTTAATTTGTTATATCAGGACTTATGGCACGACTTGGTAAATGTTAAGTTTTTAAATGCAGATGCTTTAAATCTTGATAGCTCTGATGTCATAAATATAGTTATTGTCATAAATATAGTTATTGTATACGATCTTACTTTCTTTTCTATTTTTTAGCCTGGAAATGACCCTTACTGCTTTGTGGAATTTACAGATCATCAGGCAGCTGCAGCTGCTCTTTTAGCAATGAACAAAAGATTATGTTTAGGAAAAGTGAGTTTTTATGCTTTTATCATATAATTAAAAAATTCTTAGTGTAATATAAAAAGTTTTAGCCACCTATTTCCATATTGAAAATCAAAGGACTGCAAAGGTTTACTATTTAAATTTAAAGTGAACATAATTCATTTAATCAGATAGTTTTTTTTTTAAACTGTTAAAATTTTTTGAAATAGATTCGATTAAATATATAATTAACTGTCTGGTTTTAGGCATTTTATTTGCAATTTTTATGATTAGCTTATTATTAACATTTTAAACACTTTTTAAAAGTGATGGTAAAATTTATAATTGTAATTAGTTAAGGCTTAATCTTTATTGGGATATTATTTTTTAATTGGGATATTCTTGAACATTATATGCAGAATTTTAAATTAAATATCATGAATTGATTCACTTGTATAGCATTGCTGCTAACTTGTAGATTTTCTTATAGAATATAACAGATTTTTATTTGAATTTCTTGTTAAGTTTAGATTGTACAATTTAATGACAAAAAGAGTTAAAGATTGAAGAGAAATTTTGAAAATTTTATTCCTGAAATAATTCTATGTCTCAAAAATGTATTCTACCCACTTTTAAACTGGAATTTTTGCAACAAAGTTATTTTCTTGCTTTATAAAATTTAGTTTAATGGTTTATTAGTTATACTTATTCTGTGCGAAGTATACCTTTGAAACTGGTATTGGTCACTTTGATGGTGTTGCTGAACTTTTGAAAGCTTCTCCTAAATATATTTAATATATTAAAAAGTGTAATGATCTGTTTTGACTCCTGCATTTTCCCAACCTGATTGGATTAATTTTTTGCAACAAATCAGAAGCATACTCCTTTTAATGTTTTTAGCAGGGTTTAGAGAAATTTTCCCAGATTTATACCACTTGAAGGGTAACTGGATTTTTCTATTTTTTTTGGGTTTAATTCAAATGAAATAGCATTTTGTACCTTCTGTCGTATATTGTTGAAATTACAATCACTTTAAACCTAATGGTTTCAAAGAAAGTTATATTAGAGACATAAACTGTTTCAGACTGAACAAAAGATTTTTGCTCGGATTTAGTGTTTTGGTATTGTTTTAAAATTTTGATAAAGTAGTGAATAAAATCTGATTTCTGTAATACTAGTGAGGTTTATTTTAATGCTAATGAATTTTTATACCCTAGAATTAAAGCAACAGATATAACTTTTCTTGAACTTTTAATTCTGTAAGTTGCAAAAAACAGCTATCTTACATTTTTTCTTTAACTGTTACTTTTTCAGTAATAATGCAAAACAGTGGTGTAAATTATGAACTTATTTTTTATATTAAAAATAGTTTTCTGAGGTAGAAATTAGTGACATAAGTTGTTAGCCTGGAGGACCATTATAATTTAATTGTGGTGTGAGTCAAATTTCTGTAGCATTGGACCAACAGACTAATGTTAATTTTGAGCACTGGTTCTAAATTAGTGTAAAATACAAAAATTTTTTAAATTTTTTTTTTATTATAACCTTTTGGAATATTTGTTCAGTGTAGTGGAATAGAATTCCCTTTACATTAGAACGAATTTAAATACAAAAAAGTAATCAATTTTGGGGAATACAATATTGTTGTTAGTATTATGAATCTTGCCTTGCCTAAAAGGTTTAGAATACAATTTCTCTAGTGAGTGAAGTTTATAGTCTAACAGTGTTATAATCTGAAAAATAAGTTTGTGAATGAAGTTCCTATTGTAACTAAGCAAGAAAGATTTGGGATTTATCTCCAAAAAATTGGGTATTAAACTTTTGGTGCCAATACCAGTGTTTTATTGTTACAATATAACATTTCAAGCTATTTTTAATCCAATAATTTAAATTTTTTTGAAGCAACCATGGAAGTTGTGGCTGGGCACCTTATGTAATATGACAAAAAAAAAATGGTGTGGGCAAAAATTATGAGTATTTTTTTAATACTAAGATTTTCTTTGTCTACATTGAGAATGTTTTTTTTTTAAATATTTAAGAAAAAAAATTAAACTAGATTTTTTTTTTATTTACCGATCAAAGATCTGATGAAATATTAATTTATTCATAGTATTATTTAAGGCTGGCATTTTAATTAAAGTAATTAATATTTTATTCTAAACCTTAAAAACTAAACTTGAATAAAATTCTAGTTGCTTTTATTCAATCTCAACACCCTCATGAATTTGTAAAGACAAAGATCCAATTAGTGAGATATCGAATGATTTATTTAGATCAAAGATAATTTTTCTAATTACTCTTGTTAAAATGTCTTTTTTTACATTCCCTGGCCAATTTATTAGACGATAATCAATTACGATTCGTCGATTAATTATCAGGTGATAGGTACAATGCAGCTTTGTTTTTACGTCACTAAAATCAGTTTGCATTTGTTTACGTTCGTGTATCAATTGGTTAAATTAGAGAACATATCATATAAATTCAGCTATTGGATAAATTAGAGGATATATTATATAAATATAGAATATTCATTTTATTAGGTATTTAGTATATTATAATAATTAGGCCAAACAAAATTAAATTGACGTAATTGCGATCTGTTTATTAAACCGCAAATTATTTTTCATACATTTGATGGAGTGATATAATTTAAAAATTTGTTGTTACTTTCCCTCTATTTTGTCTCTTTTTTTTTCTTCTATTTTTTTCTTTCTATTTTTAATTTATTTTAACCATCAAATATTGATATTACATATATTACCCCTTCTCATTCTTTTTCTGTAGTAATATTTTCTACTGAAATTAATGTTTTATGCTTTTAAAAATAAAGTAATTTTCATCAAAATTTAATCACTATTTAAGAGTTTTGCAACCTTGTTAAAATCTGCCAGCTATGAAAGGTTTATTTTGTTTAAAAAAAATAATTTTTAATGCATAAACTGACCTTAATTTTGATCACATTAATTTTATCCAGATGTTTTTGCAATGGATATATACTTAAACATTTTAGAAAATTATTATTTTTTATTTATTTAAAACAATAGGAGACATTGGTAATAAAACTGAATTCTTTTTCTCAATTCTACTAATATTTCAATCATCTGGAAGTACTGTCAAACCTTGATATTACCGACTTAAGGAAGACAACTAATATTTTGTGATATCAAAACTTCGGTATATTAAAAGTAGCGTATGGAATAATTTTTAAAATTTCAGCTAAAATAATTGTACTGGCATTTTAATATAGTTCTTCCGTCTCATAATCTTCCTTTCTTGATATCTTCCAATGCCTTTTTAATTTTTCCGATTCTTTTCAATCTATGCTGAAACATTGTCCACAGTAAGTACTTCAGAAGAATGAATTTCTGGATTCATTTAAATAACGATATTTGTCCTATATTGTGAGCAGATATTCTTATCGATACGCTGCCCTTTTGTGTTGATTTAAGGATTAGATTATTCATGTAGTTCTGTTTCATAATTCAATTCTTTAGAAGTCATGAAAAAATTTTAAAGCCTAGAAATGTTTCATTGCATTGAGGGTCATCAAGAAGTAAATGGGGAAATTTTTTTTTATCAAACTTGTATAGGGTTCAGATTTATGTTCTTTGATATCCCAAAATTGTGTTATTGAAGTTTGTGATATTAAGGTTTGATTGCATTTATGCAATTAAGATAGTTTGTTTCAAACCTTGACTTATACCATGAGTAAAACCGTCTCAACCTAATTTTATTTAAATCCAAAAATAATTTTTTTTTTACTGAGTTGCAAATTAATAGGAATTGCAGTCTGAGTTGCAATCGAATCTTGTCGAACTTGTCTTGGATTTCTTGTCATAAATGTTTTGCATGTTGTATAAATTTTAATCCTAAATCTCTGTCTATAAAGTTTTTTTTCTTAAATCAGAAGTACTTTAAACTAAATGATACACTTTGTTCATTATTTCCGTACGATTTCTCTAATTTTATTTTTAAAGCAAAATTGTTATGTTACAAAAAAAAAGAAAAAACTAAATCACTTTTAATATAACAACTTAATTTTTTATCACAGTGGAAAAGTACCACCACACAGGAAGAGGTTAATTATTATGCATAAAGTATTTTTGAAATTTTTTTTCCCTGTTATTTTATTCATTCAATAATTTTCCAGAGCATAACTTGTTGCAAATATTCATTTAAAATTGGAGTTTAATTTTAAGGATGTGATTAAACTTTTTAATAAAATCAATTTACTCGCTTTTTAAAAACCTTGTGAATTTGATGCTTATGAGCTTCGGAAAATTACACAGTGAATTATACTGTTATCGTTAAGGCAAAGAACTTCAAAGTTTATTAATCTATAAAACGTGACAGGCTTAAAATAAACTAGCACTTATGTCTCTTCTGTAAAAGTAAATGCTCTAATTATTATTCAGTCTCATGAATTTTTATGTCATATAATTAATAAGCTAATTTATGGATGTTTAAAATTTGTATTGTTGAAATTGTCTATGTATGCTATGAAGCTTTAATATTTTTTAAAAGGGAATCGAGTAATTTTTTTTCTTCACAGATTGTACATTTGCCTTAGTGGTTAATTTGTTTTAATTGTTCATACAGTAGGCACTCTTACCATCTCAGTTGAAACGCTATTTTAGTACCTTAGAAACATGAGCATAAAAAATATTTGTTATTTATTTTACATCAATTACATGCTCAGTAAACATCTTTCTTAGTATCGATTTAATTAGATTTAGTCAGTTTCTTTTTGTCTTCCGGTTTCATCTGACCATCTTTTCGTTTTTGTTCATCGGAAGTTAATCAATTAAAAAAGTTCCCGAACAATTCTCTTTATATATATAATTCCATGATATGGCACTATAAACACTGGTATTTATCTATCTATTGACAATGATATACCTATTATTCATTTTGTTCGGTTATCTTAGTCTAATAATCGCATTAAAAATTAACTAAGTCTAATAATAGTTTAAATAGCATTAAAAAGTTAGCTATCTCTTATGTAAAAAAAAAATGGAAAAAAAATCTATAAAAATATAACTGGTTGA